AAGTATTTCCGCAAAAGTGCGTCTAGATTGGTACGGATGCTTTTGCGCAAAACCACGTTTTTGCGCAAAAGCATCCGTACCAATCTAGACGCACTTTTGCGGAAATACTTTTAACGGAAAAACTTTTCTGATAAAAGTATTTCCGCAAAAGTGCGTCTAGATTGGTACGGATGCTTTTGCGCAAAAACGTGCTTTTGCGCAAAAACGTGCTTTTGCGCAAAATCTTGCCAGTCTAGACGCACCCTAGGTGTTTAAGTGATTACGTATTTGTCCCCTTGTCTTTCTGAGGACTGAAATTAAGGTCTGTAATTCCCCGTGTTGTTCCTTACTCCCCGTTTTGGAGGCTGGGATGGTGTTTGCCATCTTTTAGTCCTTGGGACTCTCTTCCGTAACTTTTGGAAGTTAACTGTTGATGGCTCCAATCACCTTAGTCAGCTCCTTGAGGCTCTAGGACAGGTTCTTCCGTAACTTTTGGACGTTAACTGCTGATGGCTCCGATCACCTGAGTCAGCTCCTTGAGGCTCTAGGACAGGGGTGGCCAACCCGTTAAAGGCAAAGAGCCAAATAGTTGGGGATATAGCGCAAAGGACCGAGGGAAAAAAGGTGTTGAGCAAAAAAAACCCCACAGCCCCAGCTGCGTTTGGTCGAGCAAATAGAAAAAAAAAAGACGCTGCCCCTTTAACTAAAACTCTGGGTGGCTTTTTGGCCACATCAGACTCCCGTTGGCTAGTGCCATCTTGTCAGAGCCATTTTGCTTCACCGCGCCGGACGGTGAATACAGGGAACTGGGGGCCAGAGGGACTTTTTAGGGGTGCAGGGGAGGTTTCGTGAGCCCTGGGGGAGGCTTCACGAGCTGCAATTTAAGGGGGAAGAACTGCATGCGGCTCACGAGCCTGCTCTAAGATGTGCTTAAAGAGGCTTGGGGCCTTGAAGACATCCAGCCTGTCTGAGTAATTTTTAACTTGCTCCTTCCTTATCTTAGCCTTGGATCTGCTCTCATGTTCACTGGCATTCACACCTCTGATCGCTGCTAATCTGGGTAGTGAAATCACACACACACACACACACACACACACACACACACACACGCATTGAGCAGAAGTCAACACTAATGGATCAGCGCCAATGTTGCTCTTCCTCTTGCTTCTAGTGCAGCTGCCGAAGGTTTTCTTGTTGTCTTGTATGGCGCCGTCTTTTTGTTTTGTGCCTGGACTCTTCTCTTTTTGTCCCTACATACTTGGGTTGGTTTTTATATTCATCCATCATAACCTGATCTAACTTCCACTTTTTCATAGAACTGGCAGGGACCTCAAGAGGTCATTGAGTCCAGTCCCCTGCCCGCACAGCAGCACCGAGCACCGTAGACTATCCCTGACAGGTGTCTGTCCCACTGAGCACCGTAGACTATCCCTGACAGGTGTCTGTCCAACTTGCTCTGAAATATCTCCAGCGATGGGGATTCCACAACCCTCCGAGGCAAGTTATCCCAGTGTTTAACCACCCTGCCAGGCAGGAAGTTTTTCCTAATGTGTAACTTGAACCTCCCTTGCTGCAGTTTAAGCCCATGGCTTTTTGTAGGATCTTTTTTGAGTTTCAGCTGGTGGAATATCTCCTGGTGAAGCCAGGTGGTCTCTTGCCAATATCCCTATCTTTCCTATGCTCTTGGGCCCTTAAAAATGTCTCGTTGCCAATCTGCCATCTCGCCCAACCCACTTTCCCCCTTGGACTTGCTTCCTGGGAGGGTGCAACTACAACTCCCTGAGTTTGCTAAAGTCTGCCCTCCTGAAATCCTTTATCTGTATTCTGACGTTCTCCCCCCTACAATTCCTTGAAATCAGGCACTCGCTCATTACGCTGCCTTTCACTTTCAAATTCTCAACCAGCTCCTCCTGGCTTGTCAAAAGCCAATCTAGAACAGCCTCGCCCCTGGCCACTTTCTCCACCTTTGGGATTTCAAAGTTGCCTTTGGTGCAGTCCAAAAACTTGTCAGACAATCTGCGCTCTGCCGAATTATTCCCTCCTCCCCCAATCCTGTGTCCCAGGCCTGTACTCTAACCACTAGGCACCTCTGTCTCCTGCTGGAACCTGCTTGACTCTCAGCTCCTGTGCAAGAGGAAATCTGGGCCCTGGTGGTCGAAGGTTCAAAGTTTGCTTGGCAGAGATACAGCAGCTTGTTCCACTGATGGCCTCCCATCGGTAAGAAAGCGCAAGCCACCCAAATTTCACTCCTCGGGGCATCTTGCTTGGGAGGAATTCAGGGAGGGGTAAATGAGTAAAAGCAATGGCAATCAGAGGTGCTGGAAACGTTTTATAGTGGGGAGCTGCACCCCCGATCCCTGTCCACATTCCCCTCCCCCAGAGCTGGGGCCAGGAGCAGGGCTGTGACTCTGGGAAGGGGGACACAGACGGGGTAAGAGGGCCAAATCTGGGCTATCGAGTTCTGGGAGCAGGGCTACCAGCGAGGACCCGGGTTTGGAACCAGGAGCGGACCCCACGTACCACCTGGGGGTGCGGCTGCATCCCCCGCCCGTGATGACCACCCCTCCCAGAGCCGTGGGACGGGGACGGTGGCAGGGAGGAGGCTCCGGGGCTGCCCAGCCATCCTGGGGGTAACGCGAGTGAGATGAAAGTGACTGGAATTCCTTGACGCAGTTTAAGCAGCACCGATTATGATGAATCCCGTGTAGTGCCCACGGGCCTCCAGGCGGCCAGGAAGGGGCCCCGCAGCGCTAGTGCCATGCAAAGAGTTACGGAGCAGCCGGCCCCTGCGCGGAAGAGCCAAACAGACGGGCCCTGGCCACCCCCATCCACTCGTCTCTCAATCTCTCGCTTTCAGGTTATCTAGCTAGAGCCTTCCATCTGGGCTCCCCCGCACCCAGCCCCATCGACGGGAGGGGAGGGGCAGCAACGGGAAGCGATTCCGCCCCCCCCCCTACCCCAGGAGTGGTGGTGGGCGGAGCCTCGGGCCCTTTAAATTGCCACCAAAGCGCCACATGGCGCGCTCCGGGCGGATCTGAGGACTGGCTGCCCCACCCCTTCTGCCAAAGGCCACACCCCTCCTGGGAGCACAGAGCTGCCTCCTCCCCTCCCTAGTTTGCCTAGGGGCCCAGCCCCACGGCCCTTCTCCTGCCCCCCATACTCCCATCATGCCTAGAGTCTGGGAGCTTGATCTCTCCTTCCTGTGCCGCACGCACCCGGCAGAGAGATTTCCACAGAGGCAGCATAGAGGGGACATCAGTCCCGGGCACTGGTCTACGCGCTGGACTGCTGCAGGCTATGACGAATCAGACGCTCTCAACCCGCTCCAGTGAGGTGTTGACATGCACAAAGACAACCCAGAGTCGGAGTTGCTCCCAAGAATTCAAACAGACCAATGACAACCTCTCTCCCGCTCTCTCTCTCCAGCCCGCAGGAGAAAAGAAGCCGGATTCATTTAAAGGCTGTTGACAATGGGGTGTTGGTTGCACGTTTGCAGGCTGGGTTTGTTCAGAGAAACCTCTTCGCACACCGCGGAGTCTTATGCGTAGTCCCACGCATGGGAAGCAGCACAGCTAGGTCGGGCCGGACTTCTTGGCCAGTTCGCCCAGGCCAGGCAGGGGATCTCACGCTAATTACATCCGGGGCAAAGCTGCCAGTGTCACACCACACAGTGGTGTTTGCACAAGGGGTGTAACCCTGTTGTGCCAAGACATTAGATAGACTAAAGGAGGGGAGCTAATCTCCTTTATTGGGCCGCTTCTGTTGGGAGAGAGACAAGCTTACAGGATGTATCACTACCACGCCCAAGAGCTGGCCATATACGGGATGCAGCGGGTTTCCTGTGCTCGGGTTTCAAGAGGCTGATTAAACTGGTTGAGAGCTGCTAACTGACCCTTTGTACACAAACACCAGCTCCCCGGCCTCCCAGTCCTGGCCTCTGCTAAAGAGCCCCAGTGGTGCTGCCAGATGTTGCAGCTACACCCCCATGGTCCCTTGGGAAACCACTCAAAGGCCCATGGCTGGACGTGAGAAATCGCTCGGACACGCCTGGATAGAACTGGGCAGAGAAGAGATTTTTTTTTCCAAGTTGCTAGAATTTAATTCCAAGCGAAAGTGGGCCTGAGCGGAGGGGAGGGGGTGCAGGAATGGGTAGTGGGTTGCACAAAAAAGGAAATATTTCAACCTATTTAGAGAATTGAGAAGAGTCGAAAAGGGAGTTCTTTTAATTTCAAGATTTTTTTTTTTTACTTTATGTTTCCAAATTAACTTTCATTGTAATACCATTGTCTCATATTGGAAAATCAAAACGTTTCCATTTTGTATTTTGCTTTTTTTAGGGCTTTTTCCCCCCCAACCAAACAACATGGCAAAATCACCGCAAATTCCGGAAACGTTTCAGTGAAAAAACATTTTGGTGGAAAAAATTGCCCCATGTTCTTGGCCCAGTTTCTGTCCTGCCCTCACTCTGGACGCGAGCTTTGTGAGAAGCCTGAGCAGGAAGGGAGGCCAGGCTGGGAGAGCTGGGGAGAGGGTGTTTGTGGATAAAGGGAGGGTTGGACCCCCATTTTTCCAGCCAATTAAACCTATTTCTCTTCACTCCTGCTTGTTGCATAGCTTCTTGATGGCAACAGAAGAGATCCACGCTAGGTGAACCTATAAGAACAGCTGGAATTCCTTAAGAGTGTCCTTTTGCATATAGGACAAAAGACAGAACTATGTAGCACTTTAAAGACTAACAAGACAGTTTATTAGGGGATGAGCTTTCGTGGGCCAGACCCACTTCCTCAGATCAATATGTGGAAGAAAATCGGCACAACCATATATACCAAACCGATACAATCAAAAAAATGAATGCATGTGAAATTGACACATCAAATTTTAGAACAGAGTGGGAGTGAGGGGGGAAGGTTAGTGTCTGTAAGGTAATGACATAGGGGCGGTAATAGGGGAAGTTTCTGTGAGGTAACGACATTAGGGGTGATAATTGGGGAAGCTATCTTTGTAATGGGTGAGATAATTAGAGTCTTTGTTTAAACCCATACATAAAGTGTCAAATTTAAGCATGAATGACAATTCTGAAGCTTCTCGTTGAAGTCTGGCGTTAAAGTCTCTATGAAGCAATATACAGACAACAGACAATCACAACAATCAAAAGCACATGTATGACACACACCTCAACCACACGAGCACATGCAACATGTCACCTCCACGCAGGTTAGAGGCGCTAACAAGCGAACAGTATCAGTCACACAATGGCCCAGAGCATCACTCGCTCTACGTGTGAAATGTGCCAGCGCGGAGGACTGTACGTTCTGGATGTAAAATAGATCCTCCGTGTTGCTGGGCGCCCAAGGGTCCCCTCCCCCCCCGGCTAAGGAGCTGGGCGTTGGCTTTGTCTGTGTGGTCCGCTCATTCCAACTGTCATATTTCGTGCCTCCAAACCACGACCTGGCTTGGAGATGGTCCTCTCTGACCCCATGACTGGAAGCCACCCGACAGGCTGACTGCCCAACGACAGCTTGCGGGAGTGTCAATCTTTGGGTTGGTTACTGCAGGAGAAATTGGCCAGCATCGTTATCCCAGAATAAGGCCTTGTCTACACTTACTGGGAGAGCGACGCTGTGGAGATCAATCTCCCAGGGATCGATTTAGCGGGTCTAGTAAAGACCCGCTACATCGACTGCCGATTGCGCTCCTGTCGACTCCAGTACTCCACCGGTTTGTGAGAATAAGGGAAGTTGACGGGGGAGTTTCTCCCATCAATCCCTCCACCCCTCCCGTAACAGGGACATGGCAGTAATATGATCTAAGAGATGACAACTCCAGCTACGGTATTCACGTAGCTGGCGTTGCAAATCTTAGTTTGACTTTAGCCCTCTAAGTATTCCAGAATATCTCCCTGTGCAGAAACTATTCTGAAATGAAAGTGGACTTGGTTCTGGAATAAAATCGTTTCCATTCCAGCGCCGAGAATCCATGGGGGCAGTTCTTCCAGAAAAGCTATCGCAGAATACTTAAGCCAGTCTACCTCCCCACCCCCATGCAGATAAAGCCTAAGAACAAGAAACCTGAATGTCCCTCATGATGCATTTCCGGTCCGTCCCAGAGCAATCAACCGAGCTGGGATAGAACGAATGTGCAATCGACAGTGGTTTCCCGCCCGCTGTGGGTTAGCGTAAAAGGGGCTAAGTCCTTTCCCAAGATCATGCCAAGTGAGGAATGACTCACAAAAGGTGCTATAAACAAACAGGCCGTTCACGGGGTGACGCACAAGGGGCACAGATGCCAAGCCATAGGAGTCAGCAAACATACGTCTGCCATCTCCTGGGAAGGAAACTTTTTTTTTTTTTTGAGCCTTGGGCTTCCTCCGTAGACATCTCGGTGTGAGGAGGTTATCTGAACGCATGCAAAACCACACCTTACTGGCCTTTGCCCAACCACTGTCTTGTACCATGCCTCAGTTTCCCCACCTGGAAAGTGGGGATCGTGGGTCAAATTTTCAAAAGTGCCTTAGTAGGCTAAGACTCAGAACCCCTAAGGTATTTAGGTGCCTACCTCTCGTTCAGGTAACACCTAAATACTGTACCTCTAAAAATCAGGCCCTAAACCATTTTGGGGGAAATGGCAATGAGTGATTTAGGATCCCTAGGTCGCTTTTTGAAAATTTGACCCAGGGCCGGTGTGCTTGGCCCCTGCATGCACAGCACGGGACTGTAAGCTGTAGAGCACTCGAACCAGGAGCACCATGACAGCCCTGTGTAGACCCAGGGGTGCTCTGAAACGTTCCAGGCGTGCATGGATAGGATGCCACTGTTGCCACATTAATCGCCACAATTCTGGTCCACTCGAAACAGAGGCTTTTCTTCCGACCTCCCTGCCGGCTCCCAGACAGACGGAGGGAAGCACACAGCCTCGACCGAGTCCCTCCTGACAGCCCCGGAGCACAGCAGAATCCGCCCATCTTCTCAGCCACCCGACGGCGGCCCAAGAAACCATTTCGGAAATGAGCCACCTGAGTAAGGCCCTCCGTGGCTAGCAGCAAAAGCCCCCTCCAGAAACACTCCCCACCTCTGATCAGCAGCAGAAAGCAGAAGCATCCCCTCCGGTACGAAGCTCTTCCCCTCTTATGAAGGGTTAGCCACATTCTTCCAATTCCCTTCAGGAGACCACAGAACAGGGGCTAGAAAGAATACAGAACGTATTTTTTTCCCCCACTCAAGCTACGGTTGCCAGATAATTTCACAAAACATCCCAAACATGACAGGGAAAAAAATTGGTTGAGCAAAACAAAACCCGGGGGCCAAAGTTGTTCAGCAAAAAAAAAAAAAAGGTCTCTGCGCCTTTAAATCTCCACGCTCCCTCCCGCCCCCACAGGAGGGGAAGAATGTCCCCTCTGGCCTTCCGTCCAAGACACACAGAAATTACCGGACATTTAACATGTCTGGTATTTTCTGGGTTTTTTACAAATACCAGACTGTCCGGGCGAAAACCAGGCACCTGGCAACCGTAACTCAAGCTCCTCTGAGTACGTGGGTTTTGCCCACAAACGCTCATGATACAATCGCTATATTTTTTGTTAGTCCCAAAGCCGTGGTCTACACTAGGGAGTTATTTCAAAATACCCCCCTTTAGGGTTATAAGCAGAGCATGCACACAACCGAGTCTGTTATTCCGAAATAATGGGCCGCTTATTTCAAAATGTGTGCTCCTGCTTTCCTTGAGGAAGAACGCTGATTTTATTTTGAAATAATGGCAGTGTGGCTGCGCCGGTGCCGCTACTTCGAAATAACGACTCCCCAGAGTCATTCGAACTAATTACTCCCCAGTGCTTCCTGGGGCTCCAAGTCCGAGGTAGCGCGTCCGCATGAAGGGAGCCTGCCTCGGACTCCTTTCGAGGCTTCTCCGTAGGAAGAACACACGCGTTCGGATTCGGAGCCCAGCCGATCCCTCCCAGCGAGGACGCTGCCTGTTCCCCGTTTGCAAACTCGTCTGATTAATCAGCTGTCGAGTGAAATGTGACCTCAGGGTTAACCGACTAAGCAGGCTCCCTGCTTGCCCTGTGGCAACTTCTGCCAGCAGCAGGAGGCCCCTGCCCCAATGCCAGGGGGCTGCTGCCGGCTCCCGGCCCCACTGGGGCAGCCTTCCGCCCGCAGCAGGCCGTGGGCAGGGGGCTGCCCCCAGGCACAGGTTAACCGGTTACCTATTCACAGTTTGCTTTGATGCCATGTTAACCAACCCAACGCTCCCCCCCTCCCCCACCCCACGTGACCTTCCCTGCCAGCCCTGCACGGAGCGGGAAGGGAGCTCAGCCCTTGCTTCTCCGGTTGCACTTGAAGCCGTGCGTGGGCTTCGCAAGGCACTCTCTGGCACCCTGCCAAAGCCTCGCCACCTTCACTTCACAAAGAGGGAAACTGAGGCACCAGGCAGGGACGCCCCTTGCCCCAGGCGAGCCAGCAAGTCTGCCGCAGAACTTGGAACAGAACTAGAATGAAGGCTGCCCGCCCCCTCCCCACCCCCCAGCCCGGGCAAGGGGTAAAATTGTCTAATGATGATCTGGCAAAGTGCCCCAGGATGCAAGAACTTGTCAATTCCTTCCCTGTGTCATCACCACCCAAAAACCTTTTGCAGCCCCTCCCCCACCATGCCTCCCCTCCCCCAGTTTGCTAGGAAGATCAGCGACCATAGCAGAGGGGCGGGGGGCCGAGAACTGAAATTGACCAGCACACTCAGCATTGCCCACCCCACGCTAAACACGAGGGCGATGATAAAAACGGGCCTGGTTTCAGGATCCTACAGCTGCGAACTCCCCTGGCAGAGACCTGGGACCGGGACAGGACTCAGATTCCAAAGTGACGAGCGCGTCAGAAATTGCGACTGCAGATGACGTAGCTCGGTCTTTGCCTTTTACTCACTTTCTTTTCCTGTGCAGCCAGAGGCCTTTGGATGTTTGCCTGGCGACACCTCAATACACCACTTACGCTGGGGCAGAGCCGGTCGGGACTCGGAGCCCCGAGTCCTTGCGGGCAGTTCTCTGCAATACAGCTACCCGAATGTTGGGCGTCGTTAAGAAAAGGCTGGAGAACAAGACAGAAAATAGCTGCTTGCCTGCACCTGAACCGTTGGGAGACGTAGCCCAGAAAGGACAGCTTGGCATTGGAGTTGGGCACCAAAATGAAGAGGGATATGGAAAAGCTTTTGGAGAGAGGAATGGGGCTGGGCTTTTTCCGCTCGGAAAAGAGAGCAGCTAAGGGGGGAGATGACAGAGGTCTGTAAAACCATGGCTGGTGCGGACAGGAAATAAGGAAGCGTGATTTACGCCTGTACAGAGAACAAATTGCCACGCACCATGCCCTCCGGCACTCTGGGATGTTCTCCCAGACAGGGACTGGACGAGCCCTTCCAAGAGAGCCCATACACAGGGCTCAGCATTGGGCCGGGCGCAGCCTGGTCACCGCACTGCTGTCTTTGGGTCCGTGGGGCTCGTCCCGGCCCTTGGCCTCAGTAGGGCACCGCGCTGGGTCTCTCTGGAGCGCTGTCCGTTCCATGGACATGGGCCCCATGCCCCTGCTGCCCTAGCCCCCCAGGACCAAATCTAACTCCCGCCCCCCACGCCTCAGTTGTGCAAGCACACCCTTTTCAAAGCACTACCCTGGTGAGCGCCTCGTGAACTTTTCAGGGACCTGCGAAAGGGAATGCACAGCGAGGCACTGGCTTTCCAAAGGGTCCTAAACCCCCATCACCCTCACTTTAGATACATGGTCGCTCTAAACATACACACGCCCTGTACCATTTCCTGCCTCAGTTTCCTCACCGCACCGGCGCCTTCTCTGCCTTAGGGCAAAGTCCTCTAGAGCCTCCAGGGTCCTTCTTTCATAGCTTTCTCCTCCATATCACTGAGTCCTCCCCCCCCCCCCCCTCCCTTTCAGAACAGTCCCCTCTGCTACGAAAGCTTGCCTTTTCTGTTCCTCTCTCATGCCCTAGGAGTCCCTTTGTCTGTAAGCCCGACCACAAACAGCTGGTTCTTTTGCTCTGCCGCTGTGGAAATCCCCCAGCTTGAACCCCCCGGCCTGCTGCATGGACACTAAAGAAAACTGGCTTCCTCCCGCAGTCCTTTTGCTCTGCCCACTCGGGCCTATTGGGGCTGATTGCCCAGCCTTTTCTGTTCCTCTCTCATGCCCTAGGAGTCCCTTTGTCTGTAAGCCCGACCACAAACAGCTGGTTCTTTTGCTCTGCCGCTGTGGAAATCCCCCAGCTTGAACCCCCCGGCCTGCTGCATGGACACTAAAGAAAACTGGCTTCCTCCCGCAGTCCTTTTGCTCTGCCCACTCGGGCCTATTGGGGCTGATTGCCCATGAGGCCTGTCCGTTGTGGGTCCTGCTGCCCTGCTCCCTGGTGCGAGAGGCCAGTCGTACGACCCGGGGAGGTGGACAGGTCATAAAGGCTGAGTGGAATCCCGCAGCCGCCCATGGCCTGCTCCCGAGGTCGCCGCACAGACGGCCAACGAGCTGCTGTCTGAGCGAGCCGTTTTCCAGCCACCCCTCCCTTCCGTTTGGCTCTTGTGGTGTCCGGCGTGTGTCAGACCCACCCAAGCAGCCTGTGGTCTTTACAAGCCCGTCATTGGCTGCCAGCCTCAGGCCCAGCTAGATGCCAACGGAGTTGCTTATCTGGGCTCTTGCCACTTTTCCATAGCAGGGACCCAAGGTACATATCAAATACATTGGGAAAGGGAAAGGAGGATGGGTGCCTGCCCCCGCCTCCTAATTAGCACCCTACCCCCACCTCCAGCAGAAGTAGGTAGGGAGCAATGTTCCCTCTAATTTTTCCCTCATCCATGTGTGGAATAAATTTTGTGATGTGCACCAAGGCACGTGCAGATGTGCACCACCTAGCAAAACACATGCTGCCAGAGGCTGTAGGCACTCTGCCAATCAGCTGGGAGGCATGTGAATCTCTCCTGGGCAGCCACCCAAGGGCTCATCTTACAGGGAACAGGGAGAGGGGGCAGCAGTTGTCCAGGGATCAGCAGGGGTGCCAAATAGGCAGCCCCTGTTTGAGGGGCAGAGTAAAGGTTAGCAGGATGGCATCTTAGAAGAGCCAAGGAAATACTTGCACCCCTTCGGGTGAGACAATTACATTCTAAACGGCAGGGACGGCTGCACAGCCACCTCCTAGCACAATGCAGCCCTGCTCCCTGCTCCTAGGGGCCCCCATTTCCCCCGTCTCTCCTCCTCTCCCTCCAGCTCTAGCCCCCCTTCCACGGATTCAGTAAAACGCGGCTGTGCAGGAGCTCCGCTTCAATTCTGCAATAGTGCTATTACCACTAAGGCTGGGAGGTCCAGGTCTTGCCAGATATTTCGAGGCCTAACACCAGCAGAGATCCTTCAGCCAGGGACCTGATGTCTGTACAGCGCCTAGCACATGGGGGACGCGCCACACAGCGGTAATAACAAAGCAGCCGACGAGGCCGCCTCAAAAGGCAGCGCTTTTGCCCACAGAGCCA